AACACAATAGGAGTATATGACCAATCTTAAAAAATAAAAGATTTCTAGATTTGTATTATCATTTATAAATTGTTTTGGTTTATTTTCATAAGTCTATGGCTTTGAGACTTAGTTTTATTTGAAAAGTTTTTATTTAACTCAATGATTCCCCTCTGGGACCAATTTTGCCCCCAAGGGGACATTTGGCAATATCTGAAGATAGTTTTGGTTGTCACAACTGGACAGGGATGCTGCTGACCTCTAGTGTAAAGACCAGTGATGCTGCTAAACATCCTTCAGTGTACTAAACATCCTACATCCCACTGTGGTCAGCTCTCCACAGTGAAGAATTAGCTGGCCTAAAATGTCAAAAGTGCCAATTTTGAGAAACTTGGACTTAACAGTTGTTCTCATTGTGCAGTTACTACTTTTTTACATTCGATATACACTCATGTGTTGCTTAATGATGGGAATATTATTTCGTCATTGTGTGAATGTCATAAACTGTACTTAGATGATATGTAGCCTACTTACACTCCTAGGCTATATGGTATATCCTATTCCTCTTAGGCTGTGATCCTGTATATCATGTTACTGTACTGAATACTGGAGCAGTTATAACCCAATGGCATTTGTGTACTTAAACATTATAAAGCATAGAAAATATACCATAAAAGTACAGTATAAAAGCTCTGTTATAATCTTATGGGATCAGCATCTTATAAGTGGCCTGTCATTGGCAGAAATGTCATTATATGGTGCATGACTACATATATACTGCAGCTTTTTAAAAGACTTTAAATTTTAAGATTTAAATAAACTTACGTGAAAATGAGAAGGAAGAATCACTTATACTCCTACATGGTTGCAAGTGAAATACAGTAAGAAACCCCACATATACATACACCACCACACCAAACACAAAACAAAATGAACAAAAGTAGAAGAACATAGGATAGATAGTATGTTTGTCCCAATTTGAATAGGTTTTTAATTATTATTATTTTTTTTTGAAACGGAGTTTCACTCTTTGTTACCCAGGCTGGAGTGCAATGGCGCAGTCTCGGCTCGGCACAATCTCGGCTCACTGCAACCTCGGCTCACCGCAACCTCCACATCCTGGGTTCAGGCAATTCTGCCTCAGTCTCCTGAGTAGCTGGGATTACAGGCACGTGCCACCATGCCCAGCTGATTTTTTGTATTTTTAGTAGAGACGGGGTTTCACCATGTTGACCAGCATGGTCTCGATCTCTTGACCTCGTGATCCACCCGCCTCGGCCTCCCAAAGTACTGGGATTACAGGCGTGAGCCACTGCGCCCGGCCGGTTTTTAATTATTAAAGGAAAAAAGAAACTGTTATTTGTTAAAATAAGTTGACACTTTGAATTGAAAAGAAATTTTTCCTTATATTCAGAGAAAAGCTTTTTAATTAGATACTATAAGGAACTGACTTGAATTTATAAAGACTGTACAAATTAAAATGATTGATTAAGCAATTTGGCTGGGCACGGTGGCTCATGCCTGTAATCCCAGCTGTTTGGGAGGCTGAGGCAGGCAGATCACTTGAGGTCAGGAGTTGGAGACCAGCCTGGCCAACGTGGCAAAATCCCCTCTCTAGTAAAAATACAAAAATTAGCCAGGAGTGATGGTGTGTGCCTATAATCCCAGCTACTCAGGAGGCTGAAGCATGAGAATCACTTCAACCCAGAAGGCAGAGGTTGTAGTGAGCCAAGATTGCACCACTGCACTCCAGCCTGGATGACAGAGTGAGACTCCATCTCAGAAAAAAAAGAGAAATATTGATTAGGCAGTTTATGTAAGAGGAACCATATATAAACCATTGAAAAATTATTCCACTTCATATGAGACATATACACATCTATTGAATGATGAATGGGAAAAAAATTGAATGAAGAATGGGAAAAAAAAAAACAAAAACTTAAGCTGCATCCCTGGGTCTACTAATACAAATAAATGAAACTGATAAAACTTTATTGGTTGAACTTTGTGACTATATATACATTTTTGATGTAATTAACTAGGGAGTGGATGAAAAAAATGTAACCAGAACCTTAAAACTAATAGTTTTTTCAAAAAAAATCCAACTGTTATTTTAAACTCAGGGGTACTGTGCAGGTTTGTTACACTGTTATATTGCCTTATGCTGAGGTTTGGGATGTGATTGATCCCATCATCCAGGTGGCGAGCATAGTACCCAGCAGTTAGGTTTTCAGCCCTTGTTCTCCTTCTTCCCTTCCTCCTTTTGGGGTCTCCAATGTCTGTTGTTCCTTTTTTTGTCTCCAAGTGTACCCAACATTTAGCTCCTGCGTATAAGTCAGAACATGGCAGTACTGCAGCCTCACTAGCATCTGTATTTTGACTTTTTAATAGTAGTCATTTTGATTGATGTGAGATGGTATCTTACAGTGGTTTTGATTTACACTTTGCTGATGATTAATGATGTGTTGAGCATTGTTTCATATGCTTGTTGGCTGCACATGTCTTCTTTTGAGAAGTGTGCGTTCATGTCCTTTGTCCACTTTTTAATGGTGTTTGGGTTTCACAATTCTTAAATAATTGTGAATATTTTCTCCCATTCTGTAGGATGTCTCTTGATAGTTTATTTTGCTGTATAGAAGCTCTTTAATGAGGTCTCACTTGTCTAGTTTTGTTTTCATTGTGATTGCCCTTGAGGTCTTAGCCATAAATTCTTTGCTAAAGCCTATGTCCAGAATGGTATTTCCTAGCTTTTCTTCTAGGACTTTTATAGTTTGACCTCTTATATTTAAATCTTTGATCCATCTTGAGTTAATTTTTGTATATAGTAGAAGGTAGGGGTCCAGTTTCATTCTTCTAACTATGACTAGCCAGTAATCCCAGCTCTATTCATTGAATAGGGGGGTCCTTTCCCCATTTTTTGTTATTGTTGAATTTGTCAAAGATCAGATAGCTGTAAGTGTGCAGCTTTATTTCTGGGTTCTCTGTTCTGTTCTATTGATCTATGTCTCTGTTTTTGTACCAGTACCATGCTGTTTTGGTTCCTTATAGTCTAAAGTCAGGTAATGTCATGCCTCCAGCTTTGTTCTTTTTTCTTAGGGTTGCTTCGACTCTTCAGGTTCTTCTTTGGATCCCATATGAATTTTTAAATATTTTAAATATTTCTGTGAAAAGTGATATTTGTAGTTTGATAGGAATGACGTTGACTGTAGATTGTTTTGAGCAGTGCGGACTTCTTTTTTTTTTAAGACAGAGTCTCATTCTGTTGCCCATACTGGAATACAGTGGCAAAATCTCAGCTCACTGCAACCTCTGCCTCCGAGTTCAAGCGATTCTCATGCTCAGCCTCCCGAGAAACTGGGATTACAGGCGTGTGCCACCATGCCCAGCTGATTTTTGTGTTTTTGGTAGAGATGGGGCTTCACCATGTTGGCCAGGCTGGTCTAACTCATGGCCTCAAGTGATCTGCCCGCATCAGTTGCTCAAAGTGCTGGGTGTGAGCCATCATGACTGGTCCAGTTTTTGTAGAGATCGTTCATCTTTTTGGTTAGATGTATTCCTAGGTGGTTTTTTTGTTGTTGTTGTTGTTTTTTAATTTGGCTTTCAGTTTGAATGTTACTGATGTAGGTAAATACTACTGATTGTTTACATTGATTTTGAGTCCTGAAACTTTATTGAGGTTACTTATCTGTCCTGGGAGCCTTTTTGTGGAGCCTTTAATGTTTTCTAGATATAGAATCATTGTCAGCAAAGAGAGATAATTTGATTTATTTTCCTATTTGGATGCCTTTTCTTTCCTTCTCTTGCCTGATTGCTCTGGCTAGAACTTCCAGTACTATGTTGAATAGGAGTGGTGAGAGGGCCATCCTTGTCTTGTTCCATTCCTTAAGGGAAATGCTTCCAGTTTTTGTCCCTCCAGAATGATGTTGGCTGTGAGTTTGTTATAGATTACTCTTACTATTTTGAGGTATGTTTCTTCAATTCATAGTTTGTTGAGGGTTTTTATCATGAAGGGACATTGGATTTTATCAAAAGCATTTTCTTTGCCTATTGAGATAACCATATGGTTTTTGTTTTTAGTTCTGTTTATGTGGTAAATCACATTTATTGGTTTGTGTATAAATGTCTTTTTGGAAAAATAATTTGAGCAATCAAACTATTTGACAGAAGTGTTTATAGTTATTATTTTTAAATTAGTTATTTTTTATTGTAAGATATGACTGAATTTACTATAATTATATATATATTTAGGCTTTTGCTATTGAAAGTAATGGCAAAACTGAAATTACTTTTGGACCAACCTAATAATGTCGGCTGGGTGCAGTGGCTCACTCCTGTAATCCCAGCACTTTGGGAGGCTGAGGTAGGTGGATCGCTTGAGGTCAGGAGTTTGAGACCAGCCTGACTGACATGGCAAAACCCCATCTCTACCAAAAAAACAAAATAAATCTATGTCTATATCTATGTTAACATTACTAATCTGTATATAATTTAATAATTGACATTAAGTACGTTCATATTACTGTGTGACCAGTACCATTATTCATCTCCAGAATTTTTATTATCTCAAGCTGAAACTATGTATAGCTCTGTTATTTTTCATGATAATGGAGAAATTATGATAAAGAATTATTTTAAATAGCATACAGGGAAGCATTCTGGATCTGAGGACTTGGATCTGTGTCGTGACTGCCATTTACTTATCTGTATTATCTGATAGAATATCATTATCATTATTTTTCTATCTGTTGTTTTAAGGCTCACAATAATAAGTTCGCAAGAAATAATGTACAATGTTGATTTTGTGATTGATAAGGATCCAAAAAGATTATAGAGTTTTCTGAATAGTTGATGGGTGTTTAAAAATAATTCCATGTGAAGTTAAATATATAATAAAGTTTACACTGGAAATTAACCATTAGCAAATTTTTGGAAGTAGTTTTAAAAGTACTGTCTGGGTTGCATAAATTATTTTGAAAGGTTTTTATTCAGTGTGATTTCAGTAAACTTGTTTATTTTTTCAGGTCTCTACAGCAGAACAATGTCGTTCTTCCCCCAAAAGTATGATTTGCTGCAATAAAAAATCCCTATATCTTCCACAAGAAATGTCAGCTGTCTATATAGAATTCACAGAATATTACTATCCAGATGGAAAGGATTTTCCAAGTAAGAGTGGTTTCTATTATTATTTGTCCATTATTTGGGAAGGTGTTTTTTCTTAATATTTTTGAGTTTTATAGATATGAAAAAAGAAAACTATATTGTTCCTTATTTTATTATATATATATTTTTAAGAAATAGTATCTCACTATGTTGCCCGGGCTGATTGCAAACTCCTGGGCTCAAGCAGTACTCTTCCTTGGCCTCCCAAAGTGCCACTGGGCCTGGCCCCTGTTCCTCCTTCTTATTATGTATAGTATATAACTCTAGTCTAACAGTTTTACATGTTGTTGTTATTTGTTCATGTATCCTTTTCCCTCCCTAGCTTGTAGAATCCTTGATGGCAGGAATCAAGAGGGGTTTTTTTTGTTTTTGTTTTTGTTTTTGTTTTTTCAGACAGAGCCTTACTCTGTTGCCCAGGCTGGAGTGTACTGGTATAATCTCAACTCACTGCAGCCTCGGCCTCTTGGGTTGAAGAGATTCTCGTGCCTCAGCCTCCTGAATAGCTGGGATTACAGGCATGCACCACCACACCCAGCTAATTTTTCTGTATTTTTAGGAGAGACAGGGTTTCACTATGTTGGCCAGGCTAGTCTTGAACTCCTGACCTCAAGTGATCTGCCCACCTTGGACTCCCAAAGTGCTGGCATTATAGGCATGAGCCACTGCATCCAGCCCATCTGGTATTTATGATTAATTTTATCCCAGATATTCAATTCACTTTGTGCTTAATAGCTGTTTGTTAAAGAATCAGTGAAAGTTAGGTTATTTGTAGAATGAAGTCATTTGTTTCTCCATAGTAAAATTCCATTTATATTTCAGCTATATAACTCCATTTATATATTATTGAAGAAGTAGTAGTTGAAGTTGTCCTTTCAGCTGTAGAGAATTTTTTTTGACTGTTTAAAATGCTCAAATGTATACTTTGGGCACCTTTTGGCATTTGCAGTTTTCAGAAACAGTGCATTACATGAATTTTTATTTGTAGAAGATTCTTTGGCTTTCTAACATTAAAATGATTATACATTTATATTCTTTGAATATTAAAACTCTTGGGCTTCCTAACATTAAAATGATTGTGCATTTGTATTCTTTGAATATTAAAACTCTGTGCTATTGTCTCAGTTCCTCTAGGAATTCTTTTTTTTTTTTTGGAGACAGAGTCTTGCTCTGTGGCCCAGACTGGAGTACAGTGGCATGATCTTGGCTCACTGGAACCTCTGCCACCCGGGCCCAAGCGATTCTTGTGCCTCAACCTTCCGAGTAGCTGGGGCTACAGGTGCGTGCCAACACTCCCAGCTAATTTTTGTATTTTTGGTAGAGATGGGGTTTCGCCATGTGGCCAGGCTGGTATCCAACTCCTGGCCTCAAGTGATCTGCCCATCTCAGAATTCTTAAACTAAATGTTGCCCTCTTTTATGTGATACCTTTTTTATTGGGTGAAAAATCATAGTTGAAAATATTTAGATAAAATAGGATAGATTATCAGAGGTAACAAGTTGTATGCCCTTTCTTTAAAAGTAGAACTCCAAAATACTTAGACCTACTTTGCCCATTTGTTTAACATTGATTTATTAATATATATATATTTTTTCTGATATAGAGTCTTGCTCTGTTGCCCATGCTGGAATGCAGTGGCGCGATCTCAGCTCACTGCAACCTCCATCTCCCAGATTCAAGTGATTCTCCTGCCTCAGCCTCCTGAGTAGCTGGGACTACAGGTGTGCACTACCACACCGGCTGATTTTTGTATATATATATATATATATTTTTTTTTTTTAAATAGAGGTGGGGTTTCTACATGGTAGCCAAGGTGGTCTTGAGCTCCAGGACTCAAGTGATCCGCCCTCCTTAGCCTCCCAAAGTGCTGGGATTATAGGCATAAGCCACTGTGCCCTATGTTTTTAGTTTCGCAAGGAACTTCTGATGCTCATACTGTAGTTTTGCCTTTGTTGCTAGATTAAAAGATAGCATCCTGGGGATTACAAAGATGTCCATCTATTTTATTGCTTTATTCCTAATTTGTGTTAAACTTCTGGCATCGGCCAGGTGCTGTGGCTCATGCCTGTAATACCAGCACTTTGGGAGGTCGAGGCAGGCGGATCGCCTGAGGTCGGGAGTTCGAGAGCAGCAATGAAACCTCATCTCTATGAAAAATACAAAATTAGCCAGGCATGGTGGCACATGCCTGTAATCCCAGCTACTCAGGAGACTGAGGCAGAAGAATTGCTTGAACCTGGGAAGCGGAGGTTGCTGTGAGCCAAAATCATGCCGTTGCATCTCAGCCTGGGCAACAAGAGCGAAACTCCATCTCAAAACAAAAAACAAAACAAACTGGCATCTCATCCTATCTTCATGTTTTCAACAGTCTTTTGTGGGTTTTTTTGTTTGTTTTGTTTATCTGTGTGTATTTCTCATTTGTTTCTTTCAGCTGCCTTTCCAAGCAGATGAGAAAACTCAGATAGATGAAGACATTTGCTCAGCATCTTATAGGGAGTAAAAAGGCACAGTTGAAACTCAAGCATTGTCTTATAAATCTTAATTCATTGTTTTTTCCTCACGGTATTACACTACTCCCCTTTGCCCCTATATTCACCATGGCCATTGTCTGTTATTGCATAATCATAGTATTCCAGCCATGCCCCTATAAATGTTTTTCCTAAATAAAATATATCATTGGTCAAGTAATTTTTTTAAATTTTATTCTCTTTAATTTTTATGTTAATTTAAAAAAAAATTTCCTTAGGTTATTAGGGAACAGATAATGTTTCGTTACATGAGTAAGTTCTTTAGTGGTGATTTGTCAGATTCTAATACACCCACCACCTGAGCAGTACACACTGCACCTTATTTGTAGTCTTTTATCCCTCACCCCTTTCCCACCCTTTCCCCTGACTCCTCAAAGTCCATTGTATCATTCTTATGCCTTTACATCCTCATAGCTTAGCTCCCATTTACAGGGGAGAACATGTGATGTTTGGTTTTTCATTCCTGAGCTACTTCACTTAGAATAATAGTCTCCAGTCTCATCCAGGTCGCTGCAAATGCCATTAATTCATTCCTTTTTATGGCTGAATAGTATTCTGTCACACACACACACTCCCCACAGTTTCTTTATCCACTCGTTGATTGATGGGCATTTGTGTTGCTTCCACATTTTTGCCATTGCAAATTGTGCTGCTATAAACATATGTATGTGAGTATCTTGAATGACTTCCTTTCCTCTAGGTAGATACCCAGTAGTGGGATTGCTGAATCAAATGGTAGTTCTATTTTTTGTGCCTTTTTTTTTTTTTTTCAAAGTCTCACTCTGTCGCCCAGGCTGGCTTGCAGTGGTGTGATCTCAGCTCAGTGCAGCCTCCGTTTCCTGGGTTCAAGCAATACTCCTGCCTCAGCCTGCTGAGTAGCTGGGACTACAGGTGCGCACCACTGCACCCAGCTAATTTTTGTATTTTTAGAGATGGGGTTTCACCATGTTGGCCAGGCTGGTCTCAAACTCATGACTTTGTGATCCACCCGCCTCATCTTCCCAAAGTGCTGTCATTACAGGCATTAGCCACTGTGCCCAGCCTACTTTTAGTGATTTAAGGAATCTCCACACTGTCTTCCATAGTGGTTGTACTAGTTTATATTCCCACCAGCAGTGTAGAAGTGTTCTCTGCCACTTCATTCATGCCAACATCTATGTTTTGATTATGGCCATTCTTGTAGAAGTAAAGTGGTATGACATTGTGGTTTCGATTTGCATTTCTCTGATCATTAGTGATGTGAATTTTTTCATATGTTTATTGGCCATTTATATATGTTCTTTTGGGAATTGTCTGTTCATGTCCTTAGCCATCAATCCCTTTTTGGTGGGATTTTTTTTTTTCTTGTTGATTTGAGTTCATTGTAGCTTCTGGATATTAGCCCTTTGTCAGATATATATAGATTGTGAAGAGTTTTTCCCACTCTGTGGGTTGTCTGTTTATTCTGCTGACTGTTCCTTTTGCTGTGCAAAAGCTTCTTTAGTTTAATTAAGTCCCAGCAATTTACCTTTGTTTTTATTACATTTCCTTTTAGATTCTTGGTCATGAAATCCTTGTATAAGCCAATGTATAGAAGAGTGTTTCCAATGTCATCTTCTAGATTTTTATAGTTTAGGGCTTAGATTCAAGTCCTTAATCCATCTTGAATTGATTTTTATATAAGGTGAGAGATGAGGATCCAGTTTCATTCTTGTACATATGGCTAGCCAATTATCCCAGCATCATTTGTTGAAAAAGGTGTTCTTTTCCCACTTTATGTTTTTGTTTGCTTTGTTGAAGATCAGTTGGTTGTAAGTATTTGGGTTTATTTCTGGATTCTCTATTCTGTTCCGTTGATCTACATGCCTATTTTTATACCAGTCCCATGCTGTTCTGGTGACTGTGGCCTTACAGTATAATTTGAAATCAGGTAATATGATGCCTTCAGTTTTGTTCTTTTTGCTTAGTCTTGCTTTGGCTGTGCGGGCTCTTTTTTGGTTCTATATGAATTTTAGAATTGTTTTTTCTAGTCCTGTGAAGAATTATGGTATTATTTTGATGGGAATTGCATTGAATTTGTAGATTGCTTTTGGCAGTATGGTCATTTTCTCAGTATTGATTCTACCCATCAATGAGCATGGGATGTATTTCCATTTGTTTGTGTCATCTATGATTTCTTTCAGCAGTGTTTTGTAGTTTTCCTTGTAGAGGTTTTCCACCTCCTTGGTTAGATATATTCCTGAGTATTTTATTTTATTGTTTTATAGCTATTGTAAAAGGGGTTAAGTTCTTTGATTCTCAGCTTGGTCACTGTATATAGAAGAGCTACTGATATGTGTATATTAATTTTGTATCTGGAAACTTTGCTGAATTCTTTTATCAGTTCTAGGAGCTTTCTAGAGGAGTCTTTAGGATTTTCTAGGTAGATGATCATATCATCAGCAAACGGTGACAGTTTGACTTCGTCTTTACCTATGTGGATGCCCTTTATTTCTCTCTTGTCTGATTGTTCTGCCCAGGACTTCTAGTACTTTGTTGAAGAGGAGTGGTGAGAGTTGGCATCCTTCTCTTATTCCAGTTCTCAGAGGGAATGCTTCCAACTTTTCCCCATTCAGTATTGTGTTGACTTGCTGTAACAAATACCACAGACTGGGTGGTTTAAACAACAGAAATTTATTATCTCACTGTTCTGAGGCTAGAGGTCCAAGATGGACTTCAGCAGGATTGTTTCTTCTGAGACTGCTCTCCTTGTAGATCGCTATCTTCCCCCTATGGTTTCACATGGTCTTTCGTGTGTGTGTGTGTGTGTGTGTGTGTGTGTGTGTGTGTGTGTGTCCATCCTGTCCTGCTCTTATAAGGATATGAGTCATATTGAACTAGGGCCACCCATTTTATTCTAATTGTCTCTTTAAAGGCTTTAGCTCCAAATACATTGTGAGCTACTGGGGGATAGGACTTCAGTAAATGAATTTTAGAGGGACTAATTCAATCCATAGCAATTCAATCCATAGCGTTGTTAGTCTTGTTTTTAATGCATTTGTTTCTTTTACATATTTCATTTGCACCCTTCTCCTTTCCCTTAGTGATGTCAGAATACTGAAGGTTTCCACAAGCTGATTTTAACTATTGTTAACTACATACTAATCTATTTTATAAGTAGACCTCTGTTGGGAACTGCATATAGATCTTTCTACTGCTTAGTGTCCTGGTTTCCTTTCTTAGTCCCAGATCTGCTCTCAGGGTTCTTTCTGTGCTCTAGCTCTTGGGCAGCATTTGCTCCCTAGTCTGCTCTGTGGCTACCATCATCACTCAATCTGTATGTTGAGATATTCCTTCTTCTTTCCTTCCAGAGTGTGATGCAGTCTCTGCAGCACCCACTTTATTTCTATTCCGAGAGGCAAGCATCTCTACTGCACAATTGCATGTCTCTGATAAGACTTGAATTATAATTTTTCTTTGTTTGTATCTGTCTCATGTAATAAACTATGAACTTTTAAGGGAAAGGGACCATGCCCTATTTGTTTTTGTGTTCTTTGTGCTTAGGGTAAGACAGACAATGTAGTTGACATACAGTGACTCTTAAAGGAAAGTGAATGAATAAATGAATTATATAAGCAAATAAACCCTATTCAGGACATTGTTACGTATTCTCTCTCTACTGATATCTTACACCTTAGATTTATTTTTCTTAAATTTAGTCTTAAGTGTTCTAGATATGCATAATTTTAGCTTTGGTAGAAATAAATATGTCTGAATTTTTAGAATAAAGGATCTTCATCAAGGTGCTCTGAAAACAAAATGGCTTTTATGGTAGAAGAATATTTATATTTCAGGAAGTGATGTACCCTCTAATTGTAAATATTAGTTTGTTTTAGGAGAGCTGTGAAAAAGAGTGAATTCCCTTTATTATTCAGGAGATACTTGATATTCTAGATATTCTAGGCCTTGATTAAAGTGGGGAATAAATGTGTGTGTGGTCCTTTCTTTCAAGGAGATCCTGCTAGCATAGCACTTTCATAAGAAATTGGTCATTAGACTTAGTTCTCTCATTTTAGAGGATTTAGATTGAGATTCAGGTTGTAAAGTCTTTACAGAAATAGGTGATCGAGGACCACTTTGATGTGATACTTCATCAAGAAGATGATGTTTTTAGAAGTTTGCTTCTTGGTGAATACAACCTTAGGAAAGAAATTGAAACAATGCTTCTCGTTTTATGCAGTTAGTTTTAGATTAATTTATATATTCAAAATATTTATGTGTTTTATAGATTTATATTTTAAAATATTAAAATTTTTTTTTCAGTTACTGAGGCATGGAAAATTTGTCTAAATGTGTTTGCTGTCATTCACATGTATCACTTTGATTTTATAAATAACTCCTCAAATTTATCTTATGAGAGAATAAAACCGACTAAACATGAATTTTCTGTTCTCAGGGAAGATTTAGAACCATCCAATTAAAAATTTAAAAAAAAAAAAATCTTTTCTCCACAGTTCCATCTCCTAACCTCTATAGCCAGCTGAATGCATTACAGTTTACTGTGGATGAAAGAAGCATTCTATGGTTGAATCAATTTCTGCTGGATTTAAAACAGAGTCTTAATCAGTTCATGGCTGTGTACAAGTTGAATGACAATTCAAAATCCGATGAGCATGTTGATGTTCGAGTTGATGGCTTAATGCTAAAGGTATCATACAAGCAGTAGCAATGATATAATTCAATTTTGTTCTTTTTATTTTATGATTTATTGTGTACATATATATGTTACATTCATTTTTCATGTTATGTTTTTTAAAAAGATAATTCTCTTCTAGTGGTCATTTAAGTTCTCTTTACACAGTTTAATAAAAAGATTTGATTGGAAGAGTTAGTGTTTTATGTCTTAATAAGAAAGTAATATTTTGGGGGGAAGGTCAAGAAGAATTTCTGAGCTAAGTCATATTCTCTTATCTTCAAGATGTATGGATTTGCCAGTTGGATGACATTAATTTTTCTTCTCTTCTAGTTTGTCATTCCTTCTGAAATGAAATCTGAATGTCATCAAGATCAGCCACGTGCAATTTCTATTCAGAGTTCTGAAATGATTGCCACAAATACAAGGCACTGTCCAAACTGTCGACATTCTGACCTAGAAGCTTTGTTTCAAGACTTTAAAGATTGTGATTTTTTTAGTAAAACATATACCAGCTTCCCCAAATCTCGTGACAATTTTAATCTTTTACATCCAATTTTCCAGAGACATGCTCATGAACAAGATACAAAAATGCATGAAGTTTATAAAGGAAATATTACTCCCCAATTGAATAAAAACACTCTTAAAACTTCTGCTGCCATGGATGTTTGGGCTGTGTACTTTTCTCAATTTTGGATAGATTATGAAGGGATGAAAAGTGGAAAAGGACGGCCAATAAGTTTTGTAGACTCATTCCCTCTTTCCATTTGGATTTGTCAACCAACAAGATATGCAGAGTCACAAAAAGAGCCACAGACTTGTAGTCAAGTATCTCTAAATACATCACAAAGTGAATCTAGTGATCTGGCTGGCCGATTGAAGCGGAAGAAGCTCTTGAAGGAGTATTATAGTACAGAGTCTGAGCCCTTGACAAATGGTGGTCAGAAACCTTCATCAGATACATTTTTCAGATTTTCCTCTTCCTCATCAGAGGCAGATATTCATGTCCTAGTTCATGTTCATAAACATGTCAGTATGCAGATTAATCACTACCAGTATCTGCTACTAATTTTCCTGCATGAGTCACTTATCCTGCTTTCAGAGAACTTAAGGAAAGATGTAGAAGCTGTGACTGGCAGTCCTGCTAGTCAGACATCCATTTGTATTGGAATTTTACTTAGAAGTGCAGAACTGGCTCTTTTGCTCCATCCAGTGGATCAAGCAAATACTCTTAAGTCTCCTGTTTCCGAAAGTGTGAGCCCAGTGGTTCCTGATTATTTGTCTACAGAAAATGGGGATTTTTTGTCTTCAAAACCAAAACAAATTAGTAGGGATGTAAATAGAATTAGAAGTATAACTGTTAATCATATGTCGGACAACAGATCTATGAGTGTTGACCTTAGCCATGTCCCTTTAAAGGATCCTTTGCTTTTTAAATCAGCTAGTGATACAAATCTGCAAAAAGGCATTTCTTTTATGGACTATTTATCAGATAAACATTTAGGGAAAATAAGTGAAGATGAAAGTAGTGGACTTGTTTACAAAAGTGGCTCAGGAGAAATGGGATCAGAAACAAGTGACAAAAAGGATTCATTTTATACAGATTCAAGTAGTATTTTAAACTACAGAGAAGATTCGAATATGCTGTCATTTGATAGTGATGGTAATCAAAACATACTTTCAAATAGTTTAACTAGTAAAGGAAATGAAACCATACAGTCGATCTTTAAAGCTGAAGATTTGCTTCCAGAAGCAGCTTCACTCTCTGAAAACCTAGAAATCAGTAAAGAAGAGACCCCTGCAGTTAGAACACTTAAATCACAGTCATCTTTAAGGTAACAACATTTTATTGGCCTTTTTAAAAATTATTTTATGTTGCTGAGTGTGTATACATGTGAGTGTGTTTTGTTTTTGTTTTTTAAAATCAATTAAAATACCATTTATTACAGTAAAATGGTATATGTGCATCATAGAACATTGGAAAATACAAGTAAGGAAAAACTTAAAAATTAAGCCTTCACATTGTCACCATCAGAGATCCCCTAAGTTAACTCTATAGTAAATATGTTTCTTAACTTTATTAGGCATGTATTATACATAATATGTGGTTTTATATATTTTTGACCAAAACAAGATCATACTGTTTAGCACCTGTTTTCTTTTCTTTTTTTTTTTTTTTTATTGTACTTTGGGTTCTGGTGTACATGTGCAGATCATGCAGGATTGTTGCATGTGTATTTTGTTTTGAGGCAGAAAACCTCATGACAGAATATGGCATTGTTAACATGTGGAAGAATAGATGTTTCAAAATATGAAAACACTTTGCAGTTATATGTTTAAATATAATTTAAGCTATGGATGCCATATACAGTTTTAATTTTGTTAGAAGCATCTTTTAAGATAGAATTTTTTTCTTTATATATAATAACTTTCTAATAATTTTGTTAACAGTGGAAAGCCTAAGGAACGTTACCCACCCAACGTGGCTCCTCTCTGTGTTTCTTATAAGAATATGAAAAGAAGCTCTTCACAAATGTCATTGGATACCATTTCACTTGACAGCATGATATTGGAAGAACAGTTGTTAGAAAGTGATGGAAGTGATAGCCATATGTTTTTGGAAAAAGGTAAAGTGGTATGGTTTAAGAATTTATATTACATACATACACCTTAGGAGAAAAGGTATGCTTCTAGTTATATTCAGTAATTGTTAACTGTTTCCATGCTTTTTAAAGTTATTGAACATAACTAAAAATAACTGAATATTTTTACCTATATTCAATAATTGTTATTGAATTGTTAATATTTAGTTATTTTTAGTTAAATTCAGTAATTGTTCATTATAGCCCCCCAAAAGACTTATTTATATATACATGGACTATATAAGAGTACCTAACTTTCTTCTAATGGTTGTTCCACTGTTTCTTTTAAACAGTTTCTTTTGTACTCCTGCCTCTCTGTGACTGACATCCAGCAATTATTTGTATCCAATCATTTAGACCATAAGGCAGCCAACATTAAGACTACCAGCTTCTATTACAGAGACTCCTATATTTGGAAATTTGATTAGGTGGGCTTAATTTGCATGGTGAATTCTGCTAATTTACAAAATCAGGATTCTTTCACATACATGATAGTATATGGTGGAACTACATGATTTCCCCATTTTATTGAGAGACAACCATTGCTCCAGTAAAGACTGCTAGGAATGACTTAGAAGGTGTTAGTTGCATCTTCCTCACTAAAGCATTAGGGAGTTTGTGAACAGGAATTAGAAGTATGGGACATAGTCAGAAAGTAGTTGCGGCAGACACAAAAACATAGGAGACCAGTGGCAAATATGAATTACTTTCTTTTTTCATTTTTTCTTTTTTTTTGTTTTTTTTTTTTGGAGAGGGAGCCTCACTCTGTCGCCCAGGCTGGGGTGCAGTATTGTGATCTCAGCTCACTGCATCCTCTGCCTCCTGGGTTCAAGCAATTCTCCTGCCTCAGCCTCCTGAGTAGTAGGGATTGCAGGTGTGTACCACCATGCCCAGCTAATTTTGCATTTTTATTAGAGATGGGGTTTTGCTATATTGGCCAGGCTGGTCTCAAACTCCTGACCTCAAATGATCCATGTGCCTTGGTGTCCTAAAATTCTGGGAGTACAGGCATGAGCCACCACACCTGGCCTCAATTACTTTCTATTTGAAAGGAAATAAGCCTATTGATTTAGTTGAAAAATTTAGATCATTAGTAATATAATTAATATAGCAAGTATGTAATAAGTAATAATATAACATAACAGGTATTATTAATATAAGTACCAGAGTAGTAGCTACCATTTATTGCCAGGCACTGTCTGTTTTGTTCTGTTATCACAGAATACCACAGACTGGGTAATTTATAAAGAACAGAAGTTTATTTCTTATAGTTCTGGAGGCTGGGAAGTCCAAGATCAAACCTCATCAACTTGTAAAGGTTGTATCCTCTGGAGGGCAAGAGAAGCTGCCTGAAGCCTCTTTTGTAAGGGTCGTAAACCCTTTGTGTGGGGGCCTGCTCTCATGGGCTGATCCCCTGTTAAATGCCCCACCTCTTAGTACTATCACTTTGGCAACACATGAATTTTGAAGGGACACATTCAAACCATTGCAGGTGCTTAAATAATTCACTTCTTTTAATTTGAATTACAACCCTGTAATAATAGAAGCTAACATTTATTGAGCATTTACTTTGTGTTGATACCATTCTGTATGTTTTGTATATATATTAATGCATTTAATCCTCACAACAATTCTATTAGTAGTATACTGTTATCTTCAGAGCGAGGTTAAATAACTAACTCAAAGTAACACAACTAGTTAGTGGTTTAAATTCAGGTGTTCTGGCTCTAGAACCTACTGTCTACTATGTACCAAATTGCTTCAACCCTATAGGTATAAGTGCTTATTCTTATCCATCTTTTATAGATAAGGAAACTGAGGCTCCTGAATTTTGAGTAGTTTTCCTATAGTCATATTGTTCTACACAGAGCTGGGATTCTTTCTTGTTTGTTATTCTTTTTTTTTTTTTTTTTTTTTTTGAGATGTAGTTTCATTCTTGTTGCCCAGGCTAGAGTGCAATGGCAGGATATTGGCTCACTTGCAACCTCTGCCTCACTGCAACCTCTACCTGCTGGATTCAAGTAGTTCTTCTGCCTCAGCCTCCCAAGTAGCTGGGATTACAGGCACTGGCACCACGCCCAGCTAATTTTTGTATTTTTAGTAGAGACGAAGTTTCACCATATTGGCCAGGCTGGCCTCAAATTCCTGGTCTCAGGTGATCCTCCCATCTTGGCCTGCCAAATTGCTGGGATTACAGGTGTGAGCCACCATGCCTGGCCTCTTGTTTGTTATTCTAAGCTAATATTTACTAGGGACTTACTATAACAGTAACTATTTTAACTATCTTACATGTATTTAATCTTCAAATAAATTGAGGTAGGAACTGTTATCTTCATTTTAAAGGTGAGACAAACAAAGTCTAGGTGGGTCAGCAGCTTGCCCAAGGTTACACAGCTAGTAAGTGGTAGAGTTTAGCATTTGAACCCAGTTAGTCAGACTTCAAAGTCTGAGCTCTTCTATCTGATGCAAACACATCTTAAAACAAAATACACCCTTTACACAAGTCAGAGAAAAATCTCTCTACTAGATCTCAGTTTACGTAATCTTGGTGGGAGACACTAGTCAGTTTACCTTATATGATAGATGATATTTAATAATAACCGTAGCAAACATATGTTGAACCACCCCTAGTCATGCTGCCAAGTGCTGTAAAATATATTAATTTAATCATTAAGACCATTATATGAGGTAGTTATTATTATTGATCACTTTTCTATAGATTTAGAAACTAAAGCTTAGAGAAATAAGCTATTTTGTCCAACAGTTATAGCCAGGAAGTAGTAAGAGGCAGATTTGTCAGCTAGCCTGACTGAAGAGCCCAAGTTTTTAACCAACCATTAAGCTATTCTAGCTCCCCAGACTTGGGGAATGTGTACTGTACATAAACAAAAATTCTCAGTCTAACTCTGTTACAATTCATAGCAGTCTTCTTTCCAGCATATCATGTGAATGTAGAAGAGGTACTGATATGAATCATGAAAATCTATTCTAGATTTGCAGATAGCTCTAGTTCCCCTGGGCCCCCTTTCTGGCTTAAAATCCTACCTTAACAGAAAATTTTTGTCCTATGATCAAAATATACTTCAAAAACAATGTTCTTGTGGCAGATAACCCTACTTAATCTCAAATCATCAGTGATTTTATTATTTCTAATAATTAAATAATAAGTAAAAGTGACTACTAGTCAATGTGGAAAATATAACTACAATTTGGAAAGTAAAATCACCAAAAAGTCTCACATTCACAAGATGTCAACTGTTACTTTACAAATTTATATATGTACCCATATATTTGTATATTTGCTGTCATATTACATGTTTGGTTTGTAGCCTGCTTTTTATCTTCTGTAAGTATTCTCTAACATTATTTAAACTCCTTTGAAAATATTTTTAAGCTTACATAAAATTGTTTTAAGGATGTATCATGGCCTTTTAAACATTTTCCTGATGTTGGATGTTTAGATTGTTTATAATTTATCAGTTATAAAAGTGCTATAATTATTGTTCACAAATTTTTGTCTCAATTTTTGATGATTATCTTTGAATAGATTCTAGCAGTAGACTGTTTTTAGGATCTTAGGAAGTGTGGACTTTGTAACATTTTAATGACATACATTCCTGGTTCTTTTGAACAGTTACTTACTCTTTTTATGTCAGGGTCATTAATTTTCATTGGAAGGAGACTCTGGCATTTTGTTTTTTTTATAAGAAATATATGAATATTCTCTCATTTTAAAAGGAGAATAGGGTGATACTAAGGTCACACCTTCAATTTTTACTCTAGGCATTTCCATATTATCCGGTTTATCTGCTTTTACCATCCACTTTTGGTATATATACTTCCAGGCCTTTATCTACGTATTTGTATATATGTGTGTGGGTGTGTCAGATATATACACGGATATATGTATACAAAAAGATATGTATGTGTATATGTGCATGTATACATATTTGTGAATGTATGTACATATTTATGAACACACATAGACATATAGCTGGACCATCAGCCTACGTCTGGTCCTTAAATAGTCTTTCCACATCTTGTCGTGTCCATTTGCAGTTCATTCTTTATTCTATAGCCAAAATACTCTTTTTTTTTTTTTTTTTTTTGAGACCGAGTCTTACTCTGTCACTCAGGTTGGACTGCAGTAATGCGATCTCAGCTCACTGCAACCTCCGCCTGCTGAATTCAAGCGATTCACCTGCCTCCTCAGCTCCCCAAATAGCTGGGATTACAGGTGTGTGCCACCACATCTGGCTAATTTTTGTATTTTTAGTAGAGACGGGGGTTCACCATGTTGGCCAGGCTGGGCTCAAACTTCTAACCTCAGGTGATCCGCCCACCTTGGCCTCCCAAAGTGTTGGGATTACAGCTGTGAGCCAACATGCCCTGCCAGGCAAAATAGTCTTTTAAAAAACACAGGTTTCATCATAACATTTACCACTGTATTGCTGATAACTTATAATTGCTATAAGGCTATTAAGTTAAAAATTCTTAACATTACTGACAATGCTCTGTATGATGTGGCTCCAGCTTACTTCTGATGTTTTCCCAGGTACTCATTATACTTCAGATGGATCATAGTTTACTTCAGTCTTTCTGTCACTTTCTTTACTGTGATAAGCTTTTCCATCTCAGTTTGTTATACCTGTTCCTAGAATGCTCTTTTTCTTTCTGTTTATTTTATTATTTTTTATTTTAATTAGAGTAGTTAAGGACAACTCTTTTGGCTTTTTTTTCCCCACCCATTATTTTATCCAGTCAGTGTTTTTCAGTGTATCTTTTTGCTCCCCTAACAATTATTCTTTTCCATGTAAATTAAAAAAATATTTTGTTTTAAATTTTTAAAAAGGGGCCGGGCACAATGGCTTATGCCTGTAATCCCAGCACCTTGGCAGGCCAAGGCAGGCAGATCACTTGAGTTCAGGAGTTTGAGACCAGCCTGGCCAATTGGTGAAACCCCATCTCTACTAAAAATAGAAAAATTAGCTGAGTGTGGTGGTGCGTGCCTGTAATCCCAGATACTTGGGAGGCTGAGGCAGGTGGAGGTGGCAGTGAGCTGAGATCACGTCATTGCACTCTAGTCTGGGCGATAGAGTGAGACTCTGTCTCAAAAAAAAAAATTTTTTTTTAAGGCAATTTTTTTTTTTTTTTTTTTTTGAGATAGGGTCTCACTCTGTCACCCA